GATGGTGTAAAAGTAAACGTTGCCGAAGGAAATTCGCACGGCTAAACAGCATTAGTAACTAGACGGTCAGAGAAGTGAAAGTAGCTTCCATCGCAGATGAGTTGCGCTGGAGGCGCAGGGCAAATGTGGCTTGTGGTTAGAATGTTGGAAGTTAATGAGGAAGGAGTAACAGTTTATAGTAGAGGTATTAGACGGGATTGAGGGATAGAGGGTCGGGAAGCAGGCGAAAGGAGATCACAGGGCTCTTTCGACAGAACGTCCAGGACTGCAGCTTTGAGGTGGTGCACGCTCATGACCTCCTAGTGGGTGCCACACTGGATTCAGAGCGTTTTCGCCCTTCGAGAGGTACCCCGGAAGGGACCATAATAGACGGTTCCAACGCCGGTGGACTCGATCACATCGTAAAAAACGAGAGCAGTGGCCAAGTCTTTATCGAGATCAGACGTAGAGACGGTGGTTTTCGGTGGAAATGTGGACGTCGTCCGTGCAAACTGCAGGAGACGGTATAGGAGGTTAGTAGGATCCTCGACTGCAATTGGAGGGGTTAACTGGATTTTGTCACTGGGTGGTCGAACAATGGCGCTGAACAACAATTCAACGGCCGGTTAGTCAATGTCCGGATGAGGGGGGAACGGATATCCAGCAAGACCAGAGGGAGAGGGCCTCTTCAGTCCTCTGGATTCGCCGCGTCGCGAAGGGAGGCTTTCAGCTGTCGGTGGAACCGCTCAATCATCTCATGGGTAGCCGTGTGATAGGCTTTAATGCGGATGCAGGTACAGCCTACAAAATAGAGCAGGGACTGGACTATATGGGGCTCAAACTGGGCAACAAACTGGGGATAAAACACCGCTGCAAAGATCATTCTATAGAGGATAAAATAGACATATATGGAAAATAATTCATTATAAATGGAACCGACTTAAATACTAGGAGGACATTTTTGTAAGGCCAAGTATTGGTTGGTTGAGAGTGAAACGGATAATAAGGACTTTATATCATTCGCAGTTAAATGTTTGCGTAATCTGGCTTTAAAAACTGCTAAGTTAGACGACAGCCTAATTTCGAGGGGAATA